ATATATATATATATATATATATATATATATATATATATATATCCACACACACGTATATATACATACATATACATATATACGTGTGTGTGTGTGTGTGTGTGTGTGTGTGTGTGTGTGTGTGTGTAGATACCTGAAAATTATGTCACAGGTAACAAAAATCTCAAGCTTAGGAAAAAGAAAGAAGAGGTGAAAAGAAAGAACCATGACTTTATGGCAAGAGATCAGACAGGAAACTAAGTCCAACAAGAAGGCCAAATGGGTTGTGGAAAATGCCATATCACCAGTCCTAGTAGCATCATGATAAACAAGTCAGGAGAAGCTTCTCAATACACTTCCTGTATATAACAAGAGAAAAGACCACCCCATCTTCTTCACTTGCTATACCCCAGGAAACTTTTATTCATCCAACAATTAATTTTGATTATTAAAATTCATTAAAATTCATGCAGGTTCTTAACTGGATCTGTCTGTCCAGCCTCTGCTCTATGCCTTCCCAAAGGATACACTCTAATCTCAGTCCTCAACAGCTGCACTTCAATGTTGGCTACTGATGTGCTCTTCCAAAATTTCACTGCCCCAACATCCACTGTGAGAACCCTCCTTAAACTCCCATTTACTTCCAATCCTGCTCTAGGCTCACTCCATTTATTTATCCGACCCTTCCCTGGCTACTCTGACCAAATAGGCGCTCCCTGTCCTCTGTACATTTCACTTGGCCTTTACCACACCTTATATTACCTTCACAGAGCTTGAGAAAACTGAAGGATTCCTTCCAATCAATTCCCTTTAAAAGGTAAACTTCATATAAATTTGTTAACCTATCAGATTCAGAACAGTTGTTTTTATTTCTTATAAAAACAGAGACAGGAGAATAAGAAAAAAATAGAGAAAATAGGAAAAAAGCAAATTAAAACAGAGGAGAAAGGCAGAGAGACAAGGAAAGCAGCAAGCACAGCTGTGTCCCCCTAAACTATAGTTTACTTCCCTGGCCCACATAACTGTGAGGTAAAAATGTAAATTGTCGAGTTACAAAAATGAAATGGAAAGCTAAGAGACAGGCTCAGTGTTGAGTGCCTGTAATTCCAGAACCTCGGAGACTGAGACAGGGAATTTTAAGATCAAAGCCAGCATGGAGCTACATTTAGAAAAAAGAAAAAAGAAAAAAAAAAAACTACCCCACCCCACCAAAAGAAAAACTTCTTTTAGAAGGAAAACAAAAAGTCTGAGAAATAAGTGACCAGCCCCAACTTACATACCAAGTTTTATATACACAGATGGCAATGGTTCCTCCTTCGCTCAGTATTCAGGAGGCTAAAATAGAAGGATCTCAAGTTCAAGGCCAATCTGAGTCTCACAGCGAGTTCAAGGACAGCTTGGAGTAAAGTGAGACCCTGTTTCAAAAAGAAAAAAGAAATGCCACCTGAATTAGTATATGACATAAGAAATAAAAGTAGATGCCGGTTATCTGAAAGAGAATGTCACAATGACATCCTGCTTGCAATGCGCTACATGCAGAAATTTAATTTTCGCAAGAAAATTAAAGCACAAGTCCAAAATAACTGTTAACTAAAACTGAACAAAATCATGGGATGGGGTGAGATGGCTTTGCCATCGAAGCCTGGTAAACTGAGTTCAATTCCTAGAACCCAGCAAGAGAGAACCAACTCCAAACCTGGCCTCTAACCTTCACATGTGTATTGAAATATAAACACAGATGCACTCTCAGAGGCTGGAATGCATGCATAAAGACACAGTCAAATATAAACATACTTAATTTTAATTAATAGAACAAAATCTACTTCCTCAATTTATGGTTTTCTATATACACTAATATCTCAAGCTCTACTGAAAAAGAACAGTTCCAATACATAAAACACTTCCTTATGGTGTGACTGTTACAAAGAAGCTAATGGTACTTCAAGAGAAAAGCCAAAGCCAGCCAGTGGTGGTGCACACCTTTAATCCCACTCCTCAGGGGGCAGAGGCAGGCAGATCTCTAATTTTAAGGCCAGCCTGATCTACAGTGCAAGTTCCAGGACAGCCAAGACTACAGAAAGACCCTGTCTAGAGAGAGAGAGACAGAGACAGAGATAGACAAAGACAGACAGAGACACAGAGATACACTTATCTTAAAATCTCACATCAGAAAACAAAAGGTTTTGTTATCAGCACCATTCAGTAAAGAAACTGAAACCCAGAAAAGTTAAATAAGCTGTCAAAGGACAGTCACCAATTAAGTAAGAGGATTCAAACCCAGGCACCCCGAATTCCAGCCTCATGTTTCTGTCCATCAGACCAGTTGGTAGGAAAGGGGTGCTATACTTTACAGGAAACTTCTTGCAGGAAGCAAGCACCAATGCAAAGAATTGGCAAAATGACTAGTAATACAAAGAAACACTCAAGGGAAAAGGTGTTTCTTCGTAAATTTTCCCTACAGTCTTTCGTGAAATTACTAAGGTATACACAAATGCAAAATGACAAGAACATTTTGAAAACTAGAAGCACAGAGGGTAAAGCAAGATGAGAAAAATGAGCCTTAAAAGAAAAGTATCTACCAGAGTTTTGTACTGATTATAAGGGCATGCTCCATGCCCCTGCAGCTTACTCAAATAAGTAACCCTTTCTTATCCATAATCCAACACTCTCCATCAAACCTCCTTTCAACAGGAATGGTGGGTACAAGCCTTTAATCCCAGCACTTGGGAGGCAGAGGCAGGAGGATCTCTGTGAGCTGGAGTAACACCAGCCTGGAGGACAGCCAGGACTACATAGGGAGACCCTGTCTCAAAACAAACAAACAAACAAACAAAAATCTTCTGGGGAAACACTTCCTATCTACATGTCTCCATTTCCTCAGTGGCTCCACCCACCCTACCTTAAAGGCAAGAGTCACCAAGGACTTCCCACAGGAGCACTCCACAGCACTGACCGCCTTCCCTGCAGTGACTCCTGGCTATCTTCTCACTGTCCTGAGATGGCTAATTCTGACTATCAACTTCACTGGATTAATAAATGCCTAGGAGATTAGTAAAGCATACCTCTGGTCAGGAAAGAGGGTCTGTGGCATTTCCAGAGACAACTAAAGCACAGATCTTGCCTAATTCAAACCCATTGATGGACTCATAGCATACCATCACTGGGAGATGGAGTCTTTGGAGGAAGTATATCACTTTGGGGATATTCTTAGGATTTTATCTTGCCCTAGAACCTCCTTATTCCCATTTCTCTACTCCCTGACCACCTTGATATGAAAGGCTCCTTCAACAAGTGCTCTCCCCCACTAAAACACCCTGGAAACGATGAGCCAAAAGAAACCTTTCCTTCTTTCTTTGATCAGATATTCTTCTTGCTGAGATATTGTGCCGAAACAATACTGAGGTTTATGCCACTCTTCTTACGTCTTCTGCACACTCTGCCTCTTCTCCTCAGTCCTGGCAACAGCCTCTCTCTGCTCTCATTCCATGACCCTCCATAGGCAGCCTGACATGCACACTGTTTCAGATACTACATACAAGGAAGGTCCCAAAATGGCACACATCTACTCTACTTCTGAACAGTAAACCAGCACACTAAAGAGAAGGCAACTCCCACAGAACACTTCCAAACCCAGAGACATGGTCTCCCACATCCAAAACCTACTTCTCTCCCAATGAGCCTTGCTGAGAGAATAGTGCATGCAATGTCCTTCACTCCTTGACGTACCTGAGTCTGAAACAATGCCTTCTCCTCTCAGCTCAGGTATTTATCACCATGCCATGACAGCCTCCCATCTCACACCTTCCTGAAATCTCTGCTCATATGAACCTCTTTAAAGGCTTGGCTAATCTAACATATTACACTCTATGAAAAAACAAGTATTGATACTTGGTGGGGGAGGGTGTTCATTTTTTTAGACAGATTATGTGGTTTTGGATATCCTAGAACTATGTAAAGCAGGCTGGCCTCAAACTCAAACACTTGCTTGTCTCTACCTAACTAGAGGGATAAAAGGTGTGTGCCACCAACCCCAGCTGAAAGTTTTATGTTAAATTACTTGGTAAAATAAAAACTACAGTGAGTACTTTTGAAAATTATGCTATCAAAAAATTTAAAAGCCTTGTCACTTTAGTCACTTGGGGGGGGGGGACGCTGATTTCTAAATCACACCTTCAAATCCACAGCTCATATAAAGGATTCTTGCTTCTAAACTATTCATCGGGAGAAAATCTAAGTGCTACAGGAATATTTAAACTTTAAGCACCCTAAAGGCAGACAGAATGAATGCTTGGAAATATTCCCTATCTCATTCAGACATCTTGCAACGTGAGCTAAAATGACAGCCTGGTGTAAGAAGATATTGAAATAAAAAGAATTATAGTTGCTCAAAAAAGTTCTGACACTCGTGTTCTATGGACATTTAATTAGTCTCAGAACACAAAATTGGAAATCTAAATTGCGATCATTATAAGTCTTCACTCAGTACCTCACCTTTACTGCATGTAACACAGTTAGCAATCACTCACTTATCTACAGGATCACTGGCTTGGAATCTAATTCCTGCCTGAGGACACAGGGACACATCAATTCTGTCCCCAGCACCTGACAAGGTGTCTGACTAACAGAAAGGGAAGGCTCTTGGTCAACAATTAACTGAATCAGGAATGAGCTAGTGGTATTTCCCCTCATGATGTCCTTCAATTTGCCCTTCTTTCTTTGCCTTCTTCAAGGAGGACATCTTGGACTCAACAGAATACTTGTGCTTTTAAGTCATTCGGCCCAAATGTCCTATAAATACAGTAATTGGGTTACAAAGACGCTAAGTGACCATCTCCTATGGCTAAAAACTGCAATCGGGGCACTTTATGACAGATCAAAAAATAGTTCAAGAAAATACAATCAGCCTTCAAGCGTCCATGTGAGGACTGCACAGGAAGACACCAGAAAACAAAAAAAAGAAAGCCTGGGCAACTGACTCCGAAGTCCCAACACTTCCTCCCTGCAATAAGCTTCTGCGATTTTAGGGGCATCTCGGCAGCACCCTTCAACAACTCTCTGAAAGCAACGTGGACAGGCAAAACGGGCTACAACAAACGGGAAAAACACCATACTACACCTCTGCACAGACCCAAAGCCACGGTGGAAACTATTCCAACAGTAAATAAAGGACTGAATGCACTCTCAGATCTAAGTGGTCTGGCTTCAGACGGGCCTTCCCGGGGCTCCAGCTTCTCCTACCGGCAGGTATGGAGTTGAGTCAACGTGTCCACAGTGCGGGTTCTTTCCAATCTGCACCCCTTCCTGGTTGGACTGACAATGCAAACATAGCTATGCGTAAAGTTCTCGGTGTGCAGCGTTCCATAAAAGCTCAGTTGAGTGCCGGCTCTGCCAGTTATCCGGTCAGTTCTCACCGAGCCCGACCCCTCTCTGGTTTCTAGGATTCCCAAAAACTGTCCTGCCCTTTCTATGGCGGAGGTGGGGGTTCTACAACAGGTCCAGGAGATCGGAGCGCCTGTTCTAGAACCAGAACGGACACTGAATGCAGTTGGGGTCTTGACCCGTGAAATCCCTTCACCCGATCCACACCTGACCCCCGAGGGGCTGCCGGTGTGTGCACCTCCCGACGGCCTCGCGTGGAGACTGAAACGCACCGAGCCCCCCCCCCCCCCACACACACACACACACGCGGCAGCCCCGGCGCGCCCGCAGCAAGCCCCAGCCCGGCTTTCGGGGAAACCGCCGGGCTCCGGCGAGCCTCCCCCGGACGCCGCGCGGTCGCGCGGAGCGGGACGCCCCCACCCCCGCGCCCGCCGCGGAGGCCGCGGTGCAGCCCTCCTCGCGGCCGGCGGTTTCCCCGACCCCGCGAGGACGCCCCCCTCGCTGCTCCCCCTCCCCCGACCCCGCCGCGGCCCGGGCGTCCCCCCGGCTCGGGCACCAGCGGACCGCATGCACGCCGAAGGGTGGGGTTGTGGGGACGCGGGGGAGGCCTCGCCGCCATCCCGCGACCCTCGGTCTCCTCACAACGGGCGCAGCGCACACTCACCGCGGTCCCCGCGGGCTCCGACCCACGCAGGCCTGGCGGCTCCCGGGAGCCGTTCCCGCCCGGAGCCACCTCCTCAGGACCCCGACGCGGCCCGGGGCCGTCCTGAGAGAAGGGGGACGACCGCCCGCCGCCGGCTCTGCCCTCCCGCTCTGCCGCCGCCGCCGCCTCCTCGTCCCAGCCCGCGGCCGCGGTCACAACCGCAGCGACGCTCCCCAGGCGCCGGCTGAGCAGCGTCTGTTGAGCCGCAGTCCCGGACGCGCAGCCCCGGCCGGCGCTCGTTGCATATGCAAATAGGACGCCGC